AGATTTATCTACTTGGTTTGCTTTTGTCCAAGGGTTCAGCAAACAATGATTTTTGTGTGTTCATCATGTATGTCCAAGGGATTCCATTATTAAATGAAAGAGTCATAAGCAGCTGATAATCCTCAACAAGTTTGGATTTTCGCAACTGCATTCCTCGTGTTCATGGTATATATAGATGCATACCACCTTCCCCATGAAAGACATTCAAACATAGTTATTTCGCACCAAATTGGCCTCATTTACCTAAAATAGAAATTGGGAAGGAAGCTGATGGATAAGAGACCAATGTTAGTGCCTCTAAAACTACCAGAAAGACCCTGCATGGTCATTGCTTCTGCAAAAGCGATCTCCTTATAAACCATAATTAGGGTCACTCAAGATCATTATAAGGAAATCTAAGGATTAATTTTTCCTCGTGAATAAACCCCAGAAATCTTTAGTACCCAGTAAAGTCCAAAATTGTCCAAGTACATTGAAGAAAAGTTATACTGAAAAGCATGAGATTATCTGATAGCCTTATGCAAAGGTTCCAATTGAGGGGCCGAGAAAAGAACTCGATATTATCCAAGGAAAAAGATTCCTCAATTAACATCTGTAACTATATATAATGGACCACCTCCAATATTTTATCGGACGCAGCTTATGACCAGTTGAACCAAATGTGCAGACTTATATCCACCACATGAATGAAGAAAAACATCCCTCATCACTACTTGACTTTATATAATAGACAGCTTTTCATCAGTCCACCATAAACCCAGCACATGAGATCGCGCAAAACTCTATCCACACCAATCCACTGATCATGTAATGATCAGATACATGATCAGATCATAGTTACTAGGATCGCCGATGATGGGTGGCAATCCCGAAATGGGGTGGTCCCAATCCTTTTGGATGACCCCACCTAATATACTTGTTACATATTTCAATGGGTAAAAGAAAAGCAAGGCTTAAATCCAATCCCTGCAAACATAACATCCAATAAAAGGAGTGGTGAATCACATATTTATTTGCATTTGTCAGCATTAGATGGCAATCAATGAGACTTGAACAGATCATCTTCCATAAAATAAGTATAGAATAGATAGAATGGAAACAAGATAACCCATATTCACTCCAATTTTCCATTCCTCATCAAAAATGTCAAAACTACAAACGCATTAATCACACAAAAAATATGCTAATACCCCAGATTTTGCTCATAATATTGGGGTTATGAAATAATGCAAAGGGCATCATATTTATGTTAGAGAGAGAGAGAAAGAAATGGGAAGGTGCTTGGTTATATGTGAAATGTAATGGTATAGCAAACACTTTAAAAGGTAATAATAATAATAACGATAAAAGCAGGGAAAAGTTGAAAAGCAACAAAGTAGAAAAAGCAGGGAGTCCTGACTCCTGAGGTGTGGTGGGAAACGTGGGCCCATGATTTAATGCCAAGCAGGAACAGTAAATGGTACCTTCTTCTAAAAGATGCAACAATATATTTGTATAGAAAATCTTTGGTCAAATTGTGGGTGAAGAGGGCCAAGATATTTAATCTCTCTCGCATCTCTCTCTATATCCATTTCTGCTCCCTAGGATATGCAAATCCAGGTTTCATCTATCCAGGTTTTGATGGCCTAAAGGTCATTTGGGTGTAGTTTTTTAGATCATATCCTGGATATCCACATTCTCAAAACCACTCATATCTAGCACTTGCTCGTTCCAAAGGAATGAGCAAATGCGAGTCTTTGGAAAATCTAGTTTTCACATTGGGGCATGTGCCTCCTCCCTTTTTCTCTCTCTCTCATAATAATGATATTATTCTATAGTTTATAATGTTTTATATTGACTTTTTTAGGTATTTGTGCCAAATTTAACAGTGATCTTTTGGGGTCTTATACACATGAGTGTAAAAGAGTCTCCTAGGATCATTACTCTTATATTTAATATTTACTATTATTATTATTTTAAATAATTATCGTAAAATATCATCAACATTATTAATATTAATATTAATATAATAATATTATATTGTAATCATGCACAGTAGATCTATATATCAGCCAATTCAACCAAAATATATTGAGCCAAGTAGATCTATGGCACAGAAAGTTCTCCAAACATTCTTAAGTAACTCATCATTACCCACAACTGCACTAAGTCTACTGCTCTAGCAGATAATCTACATTTGTAAGTGTAATCATCACCCCAAAATAAAATTATGAAATAGATAGTATTAAGACAAAGCAAGCTCAAAATCATTCGATAAGCACGATTTGAAACCCTGGGTTTGACCCAGTACTCAACCTAGCCCCAAGACAAGTTCACTGGACTCAGTAAGATTGATTAGATCTTACATAACAATTGAAACAAGAGTGTAACAGACCAAGACTCAGCCAAGTCTCTTATGACTTTGACAAGATTCCTAAGTTTCCAAGAGAAATTGATTGGGGCAAGTGCTGAATTGAGTCCCTAATTCTAGACATCAAAATACAACTTACACCCTAAAGTCTGAACCCTACCCCCATGAAACATTAAAAAATTACTAGGAGTCCCGACCAAAAGTAGGACCTTACAACCAGTACCCTACAAAAACAGAAGCTTTGTAATAATATCCATTGTTCCCATATTTTGAGGAGACAAGCGACTATCAATATCTATTCCCTCTTCATTGGGAAAGTCCAAGCCCGTAGAGGTTGCTTTTAGGAGCTAATTGACAACTTACCAGCTGCAAAGAGCATCATGCCAATTGTTCATCACTACAAAAACTCTATAGAAGGTCATTTACCTTCAAATCAGGTTTTCAAAATTGCCAATGATAGCTTTCCTCTCGCCTCATGAGAACCTTGAAAGCCTCTCTTTTTGGCTTCACCCTCCTTAGCAGTGAAAAAGCCTCCCTCCTCCACACAAGATACAACTATATAATTGTTGGCCCCTTGTCCATGTAAAGAAGCATGGCCACAGTATTGTCCAACCTGACACATGAAGCACGACTCAGATACAGACTCTGGTAGTAAGCAATTGATAATAGAACCTCCACCACTGCAACTCAACCTCAAGCCTTTCACAGGAAAACATAAATTTAAATCCTTCATGTCCCCACCCAATGCCACCATCAAAACCATCTATTTTCTTTACAGGGTAGTTTGTCTTCAAAACATTCAAAAACACTTTTCCTTTGCATTACATGGATTCACAGTTTTGACGATTCTAGAACCCCATAAGCAAATGTTGCAATGTAGACCATGCTAGCCCAACGCAAAATTTCCCTCATCAGTCAAATATATCTCCTCTCATGATCACATGTCACAAATTATTCCTCCCCCTAAATCAACAATTAATCAGTTTATGATGGAGAGCAACTGCTGTAGAAGATCATGTCCCTGAAATGCATGCATAAATGAAGAACATTTCCTAAAGTCAAAGATGCTTACTGTCCACTTCATATGCAGGACTTCCTCATGTTTCATCATTACCCTAGTTATGGGGGCCCGGATTTCCAGTTCCCAAGAGATGCAAATAACTCCCTTCATGCCAAGCATGTCTGATAGGCTCAGGGTCACAGTTACTAAAAGGCATAGACACAAGCAATCTCGTTTGTTTGAAAGCTGTTGGCTAGTGCTCAATGTTATAAAAGTGGCTACCTGGGTGAGGTACTAGAATTCCACCCAGCCAAGGCTACAGTATCTTGCAAATGAACTTCTGGTGGCTGCCTAAACATCAGGTTCTTAAATATGTGCACTTTTTATGCGCAATTTGAGAGGATTCAGGCAAATAGATCTATGATATTGAACACATTATGACAGCCACCAAGGTTTAGGCTGTTTACTTCCATTTCCCAAATGTATCCACATTCCAGAGATATATTCAACAGATATTGATGCAAAGACATTGGGATAAGAGTTGTGATCTAAGGGCAGTGACATATCATTCTAGTATACCAAGCACACAGACGACAATACATAGACAAGAAGAAAACAAGAAATCAATGCCTATGTAAGCTATTTTCCTGAATTCAGCAAGAGCAAGCTTGTACTTCCATTCTTTATTATGAGTAAGTCAACATGCCTGTATGAGCATTTCAACATATGCATGCATTGTAATTAATTTTTCCTTTTGATAAGCATAATTTATTCATTAGCAACACTCTAATTATCAACAGTAGCACACTACTGCATATTAGACAGGGTTTTTCTTAGAGTGAGCCCTCCCCTTTCGAACTGTCCAGTTACCATATACTCAGCAAGAACCAAAAAATAATAATACATGTAGTCCACAAGAAGTAACGGAAAATGATAATTCATTATGCCAAATGCACCTCTCTTCCCTTCCTAACCTTTATCTCTTCTTAAAAAGCCCTATAGTATACCAAGCACAGAGATGACATTACAAAGACAAGAAGAAAACAAGAAATCAATGCCTATGTAAACTATGTCCCTGAATTCAGCAAGAGCAAGCTTGTACTCCCATTTCTCTATTATGAGTAAGTCAACATGCCTGTATGAGCATTTCAACATATGCATGCATTGTAATTAATGTTTCCTTTTGTACGCATAATTTATTCATTAGCAACACTCGAATTATCAATAGTAACACACTACTGTATATCAGACAGGGTTTTTCTTAGAGTGAGCCCTCCCCTTTTGAACAGTCCAATTACCATATACTCAGCGAGAACCAAAGAAAAATAATCCATGTAATCTGAACGACGTAACGGACTGATAATTCATTATCCCAAATACCACCTCTCTTCCCTCCCTAACCTTTATCTCTTCAAAAAACGCCCTATATCATCGTTCTTGCAACTGAGAGCAATCAAGTCAGGCATACAAGTCATTCACTAACAAATGACGATAAAATCAGGGGCCACATGAATTTCTCAAGTATCGATTACATATATCTTATAACCCATGAAAGCAAAATCATGATCACCATAGTCAATTTGCAAGAGAAGTATCAAGATAAAACGGAACATATTATAACACTAACCAAATTTTCATCACCAGAAGAAATAAATTTCAAAATGTATATATTTTTCATGCATATGATTCAAAAACAAGAAGTAGTATCAGAGTTCCAGTAACCCAACAAGAAGCATCAAAAAATCTGAAAATCCTACCAGACTAAAAACCAATCATAAAGGGAGACCGAAAAACAGAAATTACACATGCACACAGAGAGTGTATCCTGGTTCCAAATTCAACGATCCTTTCTGAAATACATTGTGCTACCTTAATTCTTCTATAATTCCATCACTGCATGGATCAATTTTCCATCCCGAGTTGTATATACGCCCCCAAAGCATTCCTCTGTTTAATGTTCAAAACCGAAGAACAAAAGAGAATCAGAAATCACAACTCGAACTCATCTTCGAGTTTCAATGCCTCAGCTGCCGCCTCCTCTTCATCATCATCAATCACAAGGTACGGGTTATGCACCTCAGGCCTGAACTTATACCCAGTGAACACATAGAACCCAAGAGTGGCAAGCTCCCCAGCCACCACACTGGTCCAAAGATATCGATAAGAAGTAATGGTGACAAGCGCATAAACAACGACCCTTGTAAAGTAAATGTAGCATATGACCACAATGTAATATTGCCGGAACAAAGTGAGCTTCATTAGGTTAACAGCAGCCTTTCCATCAGTTCGTGCAGCTTCTCGCAAGTTTTTTATGGACCAAACAATGGGGAAAAGCACAGCGCAACAACAAACAACATCGACCAAGAGGAAAATCTGTTTCCAGTTTTGAGCATAAGGTCCACTCTCATCAATCACAACCTGCGCAATGTTGGCCACAACTTGGAGAGGGATCACAATCATGAGCACTTTCTTCTCCTTGTCTTGGAGATAGGGCTTGATAAAAGACCAGCCAGTCCCAATAAGAACAATTAGGGTAAACAAAGTAATCCCCTTAAGAAAACTGAAGATGTAGAAGAGAACATCCCAGCCATGAGCGCTTCCAGTTCTCTTGATATATGATTTATCCTCAGCCTCACAAACTAGGTTTAGGGCCTTCAAAATCAAGACAGCGAGCATGAATACATGGATTCGATAAACAGTGAGCCTCTTCTTGAGCAAGACATGGATCCAAAGGCCAGATAAACCAAAATAAGCGAGGAAGAGGAAGAAAAAAATGCGAGGAAGGGGGGTTTCTCCAGCTGACAGATAATTGCGGGCACCAGTCTTGGGATCGACATTATACATAGCAGAGCGCACATCCATGGAAATTCCCAGGCCCGGGATACAATTCGCGAACACCAGTGTGAATTGATTGGCATCAGATTGAGAAAAGAGAGTGGAAAACGAGGAATTAGAGTTGAGGTTGGAGAAAGAGTAAACGACGCTAACCAAATGGGATTGAAGAGCGCATGAGATCTCCAGGTCTTGGATCTGGTTTAGGACATGGAGCCATGAATCGCGAGTGCTCAGAAAGAAACCTAGCTTAGATGAATCAAGGTCTTGAAGGGGTTTAGAGAGAGAAATGTGGGAGACATTGAGCTCCAGGCGGCCGGTGTGAGTGAAGCCAAACTCGTCGAAGGGGATTATGGATCGGGAGTCGGAACGGATCTCAGAGAAGTGGATCTCAGCCGATGTTAGAGAGAGGGAAAGAAGTAGGGAGAGGGAGAGGGAGAGGATGAAGGGAAGGAGGTGAGAGAACGGGGTTTTTGGTGGGATCGCCATTGCTCTCTCTCCTCTATTTAGACACTGTGGAAAAGGCGTCTGCCTCTCTCTCTCTCTCGAGACACAGGAGATCTTCCCTCTCTCTCTAGAAACAGGGGGATCGGGCGTCTGCCTCCGACGAAGGAAGAGTGCCTTCTTCTCTCAACAAAATTCCTCTGGTTTTGAGCAAACTTATTGACTCGAGTATTTCTAAGATAATGGATCCGGTTTCTATTTGGCCTGGAAATCAATTTTTGAAATGGATTTTAAGATTTATTTTTGAAAAAATTTCATATAAAACGTTAATTCTTCGTATTATTTAACGATAGACCTTTCTTTCGTTTATCTTTCGTATTATTTCATGATAGACACTTCTTCCGTTTATCTTTCAAGAGATATAAAAATACTTCTAAATATTTCATCATACTCTCTCATCTCTTATATAAATCTTTTATTGACTTTTAATTGTAAAAATTAACCCCAAAAGAGAAAATGAGGGTCACAAAAAAATTTAAGTTAAAATTGTATAAAAAAATTTATTAAGGTAATTTTTATGGTCAAAAGTCAATAAAAGTGGGAGGTAAGAGATGAGGGAGTGTGGTGAATTCTTTAAGGGCTTTTTTAAACCGCTTGAAAGAAAAACAGAATGAAGGTCTACCATAAAATAATATGAGAAATTAAGATTCTATATAAAATTTTCCCTTTATTTTTTAAAAAGGTGAGGTTTTTATAAGGTTGCAACCTTAAACAATCCAATTCTATTTTTGAAATGGATTTTAAGATTTATTTTTTAAAAGGGTGCGGTTTCTATAAGGTTGCAACCTTAAACAATAAAATTTTATCATAATATATAATTTTGTTGTAAAAATTTTTAGTATTATCTTAAAATCTATTTTCATATCTAATTAAAAATTTTTAAAATCCAAAAATAGTTAAAATCAAGTAAATCTATAAATATAAGAAAATCTTGAAAATGGAAGGTCTAGATAATGTGTCGCAAGATGCACTATTTTCGGGACTCAAAAACTTTTTTTTTTTTCATATTCATACATCTCGATGATGAGATGAGAGGCTTTTTTCAACATTAAAACAACATTTCCGAGAGATTTTTAAGGTGCATATGTTATTCTACATTTTAAGGTTGTAACCTTATTAAAACTTTGCCTTTTTGTAAAAAAGTATGTAATCTCTAACATCGAGATCATGAATATAAATAAATAAATAATTTCAAAAATTAAAAACAATAATTTTAGTAAGAAAATTTTGGGAACGTCAGTTCCTCTTGTTTTTTTTTTGGAAGGAACACTTGCATCTATCTTTAGAATGGACGTGTTACACTTTTTCGACGGCATGCGGTCAGTATGAAACAATTTTATGAAATATAATGCTTTATGTATTTAGAAATTTAGAACCGTCGGTCACTTCAACAAGGAAATTCCGGTAAAATTTGAGATGGTGAGTTGTGACCCACGTATGTTATAATGACCTTTGCCCTTCCAAAAGCTTCACCCGTTTGCACTAGTTTTTTTGGGTGAGATTTGTATAAGGTTGTAATCTTCAAAACTTCCGAAAATGTAATTTTCATGCCGCAAAGCCTTGTGATGATATGAAAGTATATGGTTGCCCTCAATTATAAAATTTAAAGTTTTAGAAATGGTAATGATCAAGCAGATCTATAAACACTTAAAATTTTAAAATATAGACAATTCAAATAATATGTTGGAAGATTTTTAAGATTAGAAATCCCTTAGTTTTCATGTCTATGAATGTCGAGGTTGAGATGACTGATTTAAAGATTTCCACTTTAGTTCGTACAGTACAAGGTTGGAACCTATATATAAACTTCAAAAAATTACAAAAAACTCCTTAAGACCACAACTTTCTATGCAACTTACCCAACCTAATTTTTTCTCACTTTTTTTTTTCAAACAAACTTTTTATACAAATACCCCTAGGGAAAAAATTCATTTTTTTAGACGAAAATACCTTTTCTGTACACAAAAATCATTTTGGCCAATTTTGACATTGACTTTTGGACCCAGTGCGCCATCACATTGTCGGTCGGACCCCCTAAGACAACTGGAACGAAATTGCGTAGAGCCGAACCGCCCCTTACCAAAGCCCTATTGCTAGAGCCCTATTGCCGGACTGCACTACACAGTGCCGGAGCCCTACTGCCCAACCACACTTACACAGTGTTAGAGCTCCTATTTTGGTAGGATAGATGTCCGCACTTTACATAGTGCTGAGTAGGGCCGAACCACCCTAACGAAGTGCCAGAGCCCTATTGACAGAGCCTAGCCCTACTGCCCAACCACACTTACACAGTGTCATAGCCCGAATTTTAGTGGGATCGATGACCGCACTTTACACAGTGCTGGAGTCTTACTGCCAAACCGTACTTACACAATGTAGGAGCCCCCATTTTGGTGGGATAGAGGAAAGAGGCATGGATCCAGACCACACTTACACAAGGTCGGAGTCCCTATTTTGGCCTATTTTGGTGGGATAGAGGAAAGAGGCATGGATAAGGTAAGAGTAAGGGAGGGTAATTTAGGTTTTTTTTGTTAGGAGGTATTTGTATAAAAAGTGTATTTAGGAGAAAATAAGTGAAAAAAAATAACGTGGGATTGGATATAAATTGCATACAAAGTGTCTGTCTTCGGTTTTTTTTTTTTTTTGGTAATTTTTCCTCTGAACTTTTTCCTCTGTTAATTCTATAAAGCTTCACCGGGTTATGCCGCTGTTTCTCGGCTCATTCGTTTTGAAATGTCGTAATCCTTGATATGTAAAATACTTTGCTTTTCTTCGAATTTCTCGTGAGATGCAATTGTGCTTGAGACTTGGACGGAGTCTCATAGGTCTGGTCGTTAACTTCATAGGAGTGTTTTGAAAACCGGATTGGATGGGTGATACCAAAATGAGGTTCGGAATTGTAATTTGTCACTTCGAACATTTGATGAATTGGATGGATTTTTGCCGATTGGAATGGACGAATTGGACAAATTCTTCTTTGAAAGTGTTTACAAAATGCTAGGCTGCAGCTGAATCCCTGGATCTAACCGTTTCAAAAAATGCAAGTTGTATTAGAATCCCCTGATCCTACCTTGGAGTCCCTATGCAGTTAAAAGATGCTGGGTTGGATTGGAATCGTTGGATCTACATTTCCAATGAATATCCGATCTGCGGTTTCCAATGAATATTGGATCTGTAGTTCCCTATTGCCACACAGAGGGGTGCCCTTCTCCTCCCCATTTGATGAGACTTCTGTTTAATGTTTTTGGTTCCCCTTGTCCTTCATCTTCGATGCGGGAGAACTGATGACCTTTCCAGTTTTTTGTTCCCCTTATCCTCCATCTTCGATGTGGGACTAAATGATGAACTGAGAACCTTTCCGGTACTCTCTCTCTAGGTATGTTGAGAGCCCAAGCTTGGTAAGGGCTTGGGGCACAAGAAACCCATATGTTTAATTATTATTTTTTTTTCCCAGTTATACCCACATGTTCTATGAAACTTGAGCAATGATCTAATACAATGACACTTTCTAGAAAACCATGTTTGTGGTATTTGTATGACCCCAATTTTGCCTACACGCTCTCTTCATCTCAATAATCAATCCTCAAAAAAAAAAAAAAAATTCAATTTGAACCCTAGATATGGTCAAAATGAGTTCCATCCAAAACCGAATCTAGACCATTCATTTTGTGAATTTCAAGATCTTAGCCTTTATAAACTCAAAGTCAATTTTTTCTTTTTTAACATTGTTCATCTAATGATAATAAAGCCATCCAAAAAATTTGAAAACGAAAAAATCATTCTAAGGCTTAGATCTAAGCATCTCACTAAAATGAATGGCTTATGTTAATTCGGCTAAAAAAATATTTTCTAAATTGTGTTTTCAAATTTTTTTTTTTTGTGATTGTTCATTAGAATGAAAAGTATGTATATTTCAAATTTTGGATAAAACAAATGGCCATAAAATTGTTTTTTAATGTTATAGCATCATATTATTATACAACCATGGCACAAAATCATTACTCAAAAAACTTTTAGTTTCATGAAACCCAATGTCTAGAAAAACACTATGACTTAACCTAACGTTCCTCCTATTATTGTTTCAAAGACAAAACTACGCCGTCCACCTATAGAACGTATGAAAATAATAAAATTTTATAGCATATTGTAGTGGAACAAGTTGGGGAAATAGATCCAAATATTTTTTATTTAAATGAGGAAAATAAATTAGTCCTCAACCCAATGGATGCTACATGAGTGAACAAGTGGTCCAATATGTTTGTGCGAAAGACAAATGTCCAATATGTAGTGGGTGAGTGAGAGATAGAGGAAGAAAGAGAGAGATACCGAATACATTTGTATGTGTGTATGAGAGAGAGAGGTCCCATATATTTGTATATTTGGATGTGTGCGTGTACTTGAGAGAGAGAAGATAGAGGTCGAGTATGCTTTATTTATTATACATGAGAGAGAGAGATCCAATGTGTGTATGTGAGAGAAAAATCCTACACAAAAATGGCAATTAGTATGTGCTATCAAAAATCATAAAAATTACTTTCTCCCTTGTTTCTTTATTAAAAATCACATAAGGAGTATTGTATCAAAATTAGTATCAACATTAATTTCAATACACACTTAGACAAAAAACAATATCTCAATTTTCATGTATTATTGCAAAATAACGTAAGTACATAATGCACTACCCCTATTTCCTTTTAGAAAGCTCAACGAGCAATATTTTTAGGGATTTTTGAAATTTTTTAAGGTCAAATGCAGTTGTTCTGGCCGATCCTATGATCCAGACCGTCGATATGTTGATCCGGTCCCAGTAGCCAACGGTCATAAGCCACGCTTGAAGAGAATTCACTCAAAAAAAAAAAGCTAACTCCCTAATCAATCTGAATAAAAAAAAAAGTAGGGCCTGACTCCCTCACTAAATTACCTAAAAAAAAATGAATTTTATACAAATGCATGTTATATTACGCAGTAAGTCTTGTGCGCTGGTTTTTATAACACATGCTCGAATTACGTATAAATGCATGTTATCTTACACAATGCCGTCTCTGTAATGCAGTATTTGTTGTACTTTTGAATGGAAAATTGAGTTGGGGCATTGATTGGCCCTCATCTCCGTTACTTTTGTGTTAGTATTAAGTCTCATTACATTGGTGTTTTGTTGTAATTTTGGTTGGAAATGCATATGTAACAAGCCCATGTATATGTAATCTTTAGAGCTGCATCTACTTGAAACACCTTTGCATAGCTTCTTTGTTTTAACTTCAAGGCCTAGCTTCATAATCATTCGAGGGTTGCCTATAGGGGTGCATCTAATAAAGATATAGAAAAATATTATCGATTAAAAATTGACAAAAATACCCTAAAAAATTTTAGAGGCGATTTTATCATTTCATTCCGAATATTTTTTATATATATTAGGTGCTCCTTGCAAGGAGTGGTCACGCCTCAAGTTTCATGTCAACATGATTTATATAACATAAATAAAAAAAAAGTATTGGGTGTGACATTTTGACCAAAATCATTCAGGGCATCCATTTAGACTAAAAAACTGAATAGATGAGCTCAAAATAATAATTACATGTATTTTATATGTGAGTGATGGCAACTATGCAGGTCTCCCTTCCATTCAAGGTTTGGGCATTTGTCCTCTCATAAATAAGTACAATAATTTGGTAAAATTCCCTCAAAGAAGCGCAAACAAAATGGTAGATACAAAGTTACATATCTGAAGTGTGATTGGATGCGTCCCGGGCAGCATAATTGCATGATTCTTGCAATACATGCTATCTCACAAAACGTGACACCACCATTCTCAAAAAGATCAATGAGATGGGATCGTTAAAACCAACTAAACATTCACCCCATAAGAGAAGCCTCACATTTTAATATAAGCCACAAAGAAAAGTAATTTCCTTACAAAACCAAGTTCCTCACATGTTCAAGGAACATACGTCACAAAAGAAACAAAAAACAATGGTTAAATTCATAACAAGCATAGTACTTTTTAAGCATAAATGACAGTCTAAACTTCTCCTGCTCACCTCTTTTCATTTTATTTTTTTTTAGTAGTTTAGTAGCAAGAATTGAATTTGAGATGTAGTGTTGCTTGACGTCAACTGCTACTCACCTCTATCATTTAGTTATTGCATCGACACTCCCTTGGATGCTCTTCCGTGATTGGTAGAGCTAGGGTTGTGTTGCGCCCAAACAGGAGGAGGTGACTCATAAATCCCAGTAATCATACCCACCATTTGAGCAAGCCCGGGTCGCCTGTCTGGTGATGGGTCAGTGCACATCAAGGCTATGCCCACTACTTGACCCACTTGCTCACATGTGGTTCCGGTCTTCTTAATCCCCTCATCCATGACCTTTCTCACTTGACTTGGGTAGTGCATCCTCACCCACTCCACAAACTCTGCCTCTCCTCTTCCAAATCCTTCTCGCGCTCGTTTGTTGGTTATCAGCTCCAAGACCAATGCACCGTATTTGTAAACCTCTACAAATTAGAACATTTACTTAGTACCAAAGTGCACAATGCAATCGCATTAGTGTTTGATTATGCAAGCTAACTCAAACTCATTCGAGTCGAGCTAGCCACCTTGGCAAGCTCGAGTATCTCTGAGTTAAATGGTCAACTCAAGGATCTTAAAAAAAAAAATCAAAAAATTATAAAAAATCCTAAGAACCATAAATTTATTTGTAATATGCTTTTTTATACTTTCTATCATTTTAGTAAAGATTGGAAAGTGTTTTGGTTATGAATACTTATTTTTACATTTTTTTTTCTCTTTGGATTATTTAAAAAATACACCCTGTCACAAATTTGTATTTTCAAAATCCTTTTTTTCACTATTTTTTTTTATCTCATTTAAATGTGTTTTATTTAATTTTACTTAAAAAACACTTTTTGGTTTGCCAAAGACCCAGCCCGACTCGAGCTGAGTAACTCAGCCTCGGCCCAAATTACTCGGCTCGGGCAGGCTCCGAGTCCCATCCCCAAGTCATGCCTTTGTACACTGATTGCAAAGTAGAAGGCCAGTGAACAACATGGCGGCAAACAGGCAATGCTTTGCATCTTAACTACTTGTAACAGATGGTGGAGAACTCAACCGAACCGGGACGGAGTAGAAAACGGTAGGGCCCGGCATTTCGGGGGCTATTGGCAGTAAAGATGCCACTAGCCCCTTATTAAAATGGTCAAACTACCTCAAATAGTGGCCAAATTGACTAATTTATCAATAAATTAATGTTTTGGATTTAGGAAAGGGAATAGGATTTGGGTGATAGCATCCCCACACTTAGTCATCATATTGTGGTTTCCATTCCTACCACTACCTCATTGACACTTTCAGAAATGTAACTCCTAATCTACTTAAAAAAGAGGTAGGGGCCGGAATACAAGGTAACTAAAGGTATCTTGATAATTTTACCTCTCTTAAGTGGCCTAATCCATAGGTCTAGAATCCAAACATAAAACATGGTTTTCATTAATAAGTTTGGAACTCGAAACAAGCATATTTGGCTTGACTTAAGTAACCCAAGTTAGAGGACAAAATTGCCTTGCTTTTTCTGGGTTATTAACTCGATGTGTTTTTAATAAAATATCTTTTTCAAGGTTTGTAATTTATAACAAGTGGGGGACACTTATTACCCAAATTACAAACCTTGAGCATGGCATACTGGGTATTTTGTTAAAGTTAGTGGTTTTCTCAGGCAGTTAGACCATTTTAATGACACTTACTCAAAAATAGTCTCCCATAGCAAAATTTTCCTTAATTTATGTTTTTTATTTAGAAAAATATACGATGAGACCATTTACTTTTGGTATAAAGCAGCATAAGTAATCTTGACCGTTGGATACAAAATTGTAGCTGCATTTATTCCATTGGCTGAGCTCAATCTCGAAATTAAAATTTCTCGAACTTTGTGATACATCTAAGTTATCAGATTTCACATCATATGGTAATTAATAATTATGAACTTGTTATATTAAAGGTAAATAACCTCATTGTATATAATCCTTTTTATTTTTCTCTAGATACTTAATGGACTCAAAAAATAAAAAAAAATTATTTTGAAAGAGAAGAAATAATAAACCAAAACAAATGTTTTTAAAGTATTTCCTCATTTATATTTGCGCTAATACTTTTAAAAAATATTTCTGGAAAATTATTTGAATTCTGTCCATCAAGCATATGTGTACAATGTACCATCACCATGAAGGGCCCATCCACCGTCCTACTCAACAATAGATAGTGGAGAGGAGCCATTCTTCCACTCAAAAGTCCATCCCTCTTTATCCAAGAACAAACTGCAACTCATCTCCACGGTCCGTCCTTAAGGACACACGGTGGATGGAAGTTCATTCGTGATGGGGTCCATACATGGTATGCTTATCTGTCACTAATCCACTCTTATTCTCAACAATAACGATACCCAATCTTAGGGATGATACTGGGCCTGGCCATAAGGCTCAGCATAGCCTGGACCGGGCCAAATAGGCCCTCGCCCAGACCTTGCCCCATCAAAGCCAAGTTAGATAGAATAGAAAACCAAAAGAAAAAAAATAAAAAAGAAAGATTAGGTCAGCCTTAAGGATATGAGGCCATAAGGCTGGCCAAAGCCCAGCCTAACCTGGACCGGGCCAAATAAGCCTTGGCCGACCTTGCCCCATCAAGGCCAAGTTGGATAGAATAGAAAACCAAAATATAAAAAGAAATTAAAAGAAAAAGAGAGCTGAGGTCAGCCCTAGCACGGCCCAGCCTTTAGGCTGCATTTTTACCCTAGTTTTTCATGATTTACTTGGTGTGATGGTAAAAAAGTTCGGATAATCAGGGCAAGAACAGGGATTCAAGTCCTGAAAACGGTCACTTTGTGCATAAAAAGCCAAAAGTTAGCTGCATAGGCGGGGCCAGCACCGGCTTAAGGCCTTCATTTTACACAGCGGAAAAAAAAAGCTTAGAACTCACTTTTTGAGGCACTGATATGCTCGCCAACTCCAAGCTTAAAAATGAAAGGCTCCCGATGTGGACCAACAATCAAGCTACTTGACCTTAGGTCGTAGGCCACCCTAGGCCACTCCTCTTCTATGTAACCCATAGCATTAGCCACTCCCACCGCCACCTTCAGCCTCTGGTGCCACGATGGTGCTCCATCGTGGCTCCTTTGTGAGAGCCACTTCTCCATTGTCACATTGCCCACCCATGCCTTAACAACCGCCCTCACCCCCTTCCTATCACACCAACCCACCACCTGCACCAGGTTTCTGTGTCTCACTTGTACCAGTATCCTGCATTCATGCACAAATGCCCTGCGAGCCTCGGAGGTTACAGTTTCTCTGCAAACTTCGACCGCCACTTCTCGGCCATCTTTAAGCATCCCTTTGTACACTTCGTACCTCCCAACATTGCCCACTGAATTTGTCTCAGAGAAATTGTTAGTCGCCGCCTTGAGCATGCCTGGCGTGAACATGTACTGCACACGAGCTTGGAGAGCCGTCGGAGGAAAATCAGGTTGTCGAGGGCAGATCCACCACAGACATCCGACGCTTGAAACCAAAATTGCGAGGAGTGTCAAAAGTGTGATCACAGACAACACCGGAACTGGACGATCTGCAGGAGAAACTTCCGTCAGGCCCGAAAAGGTAAAGCCCGAGGAGTTGAACCTGAAAATTCAGGAACAAAGAATGGAATTACTATTCATAACACCCATGGAGGTGTTAACATGCTTGCCCCTAAACAATGAATTACCAATATATTACCTTCTTAAGAACCCCGGAATCTGGCCGGAAAAATGGTTGTACGACAGGTCGATATGAGTGAGATTGGTGAGCGCAGAGAGGTTGTCGAGGGGAAGGTACCCAACAAGGTCGTTATAGCTCAGGTCCAACGATTCTATCTGTGTACACTGTAAGATCTCGATAGGGAAAGAGCCCCTGAGGCCATTGTTCGAGAGGGTGATGAGGCGGATAGAGAGACGACAGTACTTCCAGAAAGAGAAGAGCGAGAGGAAGAGGCGCGTCTCGTTCGGACTACCCTGAAGGCTGATTTTAGTGAATGCGAAATCACAGTTCTCATTCATGGAGGCATTGCAGAGGTATCGAGCCGTGACTTTGGATTGGTAGATTGCAACCAATTTGGTGTCTGAGGCATTGCAGTAACGGGTTGTGGGATCGTTTTCGCAGTCACGGGCGATTGTTTGGTTGAAGCCAGGGGGTGGTTCTCTTGATAAGTCGTCCAAGAGAGAGGATTGCGATGTCGTGGATAGAATTGCTGGTAAAATGAGGAGAAGAAGAAGTCGAGTTAGAGTGTTCTGCTCCATGGAAGAGAGGGAGAGAAATTGTAATGGCTTCCTCCTGGTCAGAGAGAGAGATTGTAATGGATTCCTCCTGGACAGAGGCAGAGATTGTAATGGATTCCTCCTGTTCAGAGAGAGAAGGAGGGGGAGAAGGGGGTTGGAGCCAAAACATGGATTAACTGCATCGAAATGGCAGATTTGAAAGGGTGTGCTTTCTGAGTGTTCGAAAGAAAAACAAATGCTCCAAACGTTACCTAAATATCGAAAATGAACCTCCAAATTGTAAGAAACACTTCCAGCGTTCCTCGTCAAAACTATGGGTATTTAAGTAAAAATAAATCCCCCGTTGAAAACCGAAAAAGAGAAGTTAATTTCTCTACCCTATCAACCGCTTGATCTTGGACACTCTTGTCAATGCAATAAAATATATGGGTAATTTTCGTGACATGTCCAATAAATATGGAAGTGGTTTGATGGGGCCAGTGTTTTAAAAAACGTCGAGTCGAACCGGACTCTCCCGGTTCGACTCGAAAATCGTGAAAAGGGGACCGGATCGCCTAAAAAATCGAAAATCGTCCGGTTCTAGAGAGAACCGGACGATTCTATACAGTGAATCGCCGATTCACTGTACGGATTCGGCGAGTCCGAACAGTGAATCGGCGAGTCCCGTATGGAATTTTTTTTTTTTTTTTTTGTTATCCATGATAGATTTTTTTGTAATACTTGATCGATTTTTTTGTAATCCATGATCGAATTGTTTTTGTTTTTTTGTAATCCATGATCAAATTTTTTTGTTTTTTGTAACCCATAATAGAATTTTTTGTAATCCATGGTCGAAATATTTGTTTTCTTTTCTTGTAATCCATGATCGATTTTTTTTTTTTTTTGTAACCCATGATAGAATTTTTTGTAATCCATGATCGAATGTTTTGTAATACATGATCGAAATGTTTGTTTTTTTTTTGTAATCCATGATCGAAATGTTTGTTTTTTTTTTGTAA